AAAAACAAGTTTTATAAAATATAAAAACCGAAAAATTGATTATGACTTCTCGCTCCTCGCTCTCCTTAGTGAGTTGCTTAACCTGAGCATTCAAGTTGAAGATAGTCTCAATAAGGTCGTCCAGCTCAGACTTTATCCTCCAGCTGGCCCAAAAGAGACTATTCTCCACAGCTTGGGCCTGGACAGTCTCCTAAAGTATTTTATTTAATTCAAGTAGTCTATTTATGAAAACTATGAATGTAATGCATGATTCACACATCAAAACACACAATTCAAGAATACTCATTAAGATTGAAAACAACACTAAATCCCTAATTTCGCACTAATGATCAATTTATCATGAAACTACTTATGATTCCAAAAATCAGGGTGTTACAACTCTCCTCCTTAACAAAATTTCATCCTCAAAATTGATCTGAGGCAAAAACCTGAGGATGTTGAGTTCTCATGATACCTTCGCTCTCCCAAGTAGCTACCTTGGTCTTATGATTTCGCCACAAGACCTTAACAAGAGGAATCCTCTTGTTTCTCAACTCCTTGACTTCTTTGGCCAAAATCTTTACTAGCTCTTCCTCATAAGTTAAATTAGGCTGAATGCTAAGTGAGTCAGTAGCTACCACATGTGAAGGATCTAATCTATACTTCCTCAGTATAGACACATGGAAGATGTTATGGATCTTATCAAGATCCGGTGGTAAAGCTAAATTGTAGGCGAACAGACCTACACAATCTATGATCTCATATGGACTAATGAACTTAGGATTAAGCTTACATTTATTACCAAATCTCAGAACTTTCTTCTATGGTAATACCTTAAGGAATACTTTGTCACCGAGTGCATACTCAATATCCTTCCTCTTTAAATTCGCATAGGATTTCTAATGATCAAATGTAGTTTTTAGTATATCCTTGATAATCATAACCTTCTCTTCGATCTCTCTAAGCAAATCTAGTCTAACTATCTTACCTTTGCTGAGCTCGAACCAATAAAGTGGAGTCCAACACCTCCTACCATACAAGGTCTCAAATAATATCATTTTAATACTCGATAGGTAATTGTTATTATAAGTAGACTCTATCATTCTGATTTCAGCTAGCCACAAAGTCAACGACACACTCTCTCAGTACATCCTCTAGAGTCTGAATTACTCTCTTTGACTATCCATCTATTTGCGTATGAAAAGTCGTAGTAAAATGCAATTCTGTACCCAAAGCCTCATACAACTTCTTCTAGAACCTAGAAGTGAACCTCAAATCCCTGTCAGAGATAATAGACGTAGGAACACCATGCAGTTTCATAATCTCATCAATGTATAGTTGTGCATACTGCTCAAGAGAGAAATTAGTCCTTATAGGAAGAAAATGAATTGACTTAGTCAAACGATCAACTATCACTCAAATAGCATCTTTCTTCTTTAGATTCTTGGGCAAACCAATTATAAAGTCCATCATCATCATATCCTATTTCCGATGAGGTATAGAAATAGGATGCATCAAACCAGAAGGAACTTGATGCTCTGCCTTAACTTGCTAACAAGTCAGATACCTCGATACAAAATTTTTAATCTCTCTCTTTATATTTGACCACCAGTAATGCAGTCTTAGATCCTAGTAATCTTGTTACTATCAGGATGCATAGTATACGGACTGCTATATATAAGCTTCCTCCAAAATACTCTTCCTCAAATCTAGGATCTTCTACACACGAATCCAATCCCTTAAATACAAACATCCATCGTCTTTGATCACAAAGTCCTTCTTATCTTCTTGAACTAGACCTTTCTATAAGGAAATTTTCTCATCATTAGCCTGAGCTTTTTGAATTTGCTGAGTCAAATTAGACTTAACCATCAACTCAGCCTCAACAACTTCATCACTAGCTATGGACAAATGAGGATGGTAATCTGCAATTACACTTGCTTTACCAGGATGGTAATCGATACTGAGGCTAGATAATAATGGTTCATCTTATAGCCTATGAAATGAAAACTTTACAGGGCAGTCCAATTTCATTGTGGAATCTTCCTTTTTTTTTTTTTTTTTTTTTTCAAATCTAGGATCGTTCTATACTACCGAATATCCAATTCCACTTAAATACAAACATCCCATGTTCTGTTTTGATCACAAATGTCCTTCTATCTTCTTGAAACTAGAACCTTTTCTAATAAAGGAAAATTTTCCTCAGTCATTAGCCTGAGCTGTTCTACTGAATTTTGCTGAGTCAAATTAGATCTTACACCATACAATGCGTAAATCAGCCTCACAACTTCATCACTAGCTATGGACGAAATGAGGATGGTAATCTGCAATTACACAACTAGCTATTACCACGATGGTAGATTCGATACTGCTCTGAGGCTAGTATAATAAATGGGTCATCTATAGCCCTACATAAGAAATGAAAACTTGATATCAGCCTGGGTCAGTCCAATTCGATGAGATGAATCTTACCTTTTTTTTTTTTTTTTTTCATTTACGAGATGCCAATTAAATAACGCAATTTATATTTTTTTTTTTTTTTTTTTTTTTACAGGTCCATTAAAGCATATTTATAGGTTTGGCATCACATATCAATCAAAAAAACTTAAGACAATGATTTATAATATTTCCCACTTACATATTCTCTCTAACAATAATCACGATTAGGGATGGCTTTAGGGTGGAATAGAGGGGCACTTGCCCTATTGATCTTTTTCACTTTAATTTTTAAATTTTTTAACATTTTAGTCTATGTAAATGCATTAATTTGAACTTACTTCACCAAATTTTACCTTTTACCCCTACTGAATTATTACTTTTATATGTTGCCCACTAATTATATTTTTTGAATCTGTCCCTATTTACAATATATATATATATTTCTAAGCCCATTTAAGAAAGAGTACTCCATTTGTTTTACTTTAACAGCAATATTTTATTTTTTCAAAAAAATTAAGAAAATGATTGAAACACATTAATTTTCTAAAAATATAGAATAGAATGCCTAAATTGTCCCTTTTAAAAATTAAAAACTTCCCATTTAATTTTACTACAAAACCAATGCTAATTTCATCTCATATCACCACGATTATGGTATTACTTCCATTTCACTTTTTTAGTTGATATAATGAAAAACTTTTAGTTGTTTGAATTTTGATTTTACTAGAATTAAAGTAATGATAAAAAATAAAAAAATAAATATAAAAAATAAAAATAAATTACATCTAATAAATATGAGTAAAATTTTTTTAAAAAATATATAATCTCAAAATCTTAAATGAATACTTAAGGTGGAATAAAGTAAAGTGCTCATTTATTATTATTCAAGTGGAATGGAGAGAGTATAAGATAAATGTCAAGTCATTCATAACGTTATAGTAGGTTGGAAGTCAAATTATAAAACTCAAAGCCCATTAAGGACAAATTTGCAACAATTATATGAAATGTTAACTTCATCCATATTTTATTCTAAAAAAGATTAGCCATATTTCAACATTTTATATCTTGATTTTTAGTATATTAAATACAATATTTTTTTCTAAAATGTTTATATTTAGTTCTTTAAAATATTATAATAAATTTAATTATTACATTCCTTTAAAAAAAATCTAAAATCTTACATCTGTCATACTGAAAATGTTTTTCAATAACTACCAACTATTACATTCTCCGCTTTTCAAAAAAAAAAAAAAAAAAAAAAACTATTTACATTTTCTCCGCTTTTTCAAAAAAAAAAAAAAAAAAAAAAAAAATTACATTCTCGGAATTAAAATGAAAAGAAAAGAAAAAAATATTTCCTCCTTCCCGTTTAAAATATTTTTAATTTTGAATTTTTGTAAAAATTAAAAAAAAATTAAATCACCTCAATTTTAGAAATAAGTAAGAATTATTGATTAAATTACCCTTTAATTAATACTCATATAATTGAAATAAAATTTAATATAGATATATATAAAAAATAAAATTTAAAAAATAATTAATAAAAATCATTTTGTGAAAAAATACTAAAAACTGTCAAATTTAAAGAGGAAGGGAGTAATAAATTTCATACTTCTCCCATTCCTAAATACTTGTCATATTTGAATTTCAATGTCTCCTAAGAAAATCATTAAATTTGTCTAAGTTAAAATAAATTATTGAGTAAATTAACTGTATAATCCTTAATTTAATATATCCAAACACCTAATTTTTTAAGGTTCAAATAATAATTGTTGGTCATATACAAAGGGTAAAACATGAAAAAAATATTACTCTTTGAAATCACAAATGTGAAGTATTTTCTCAAATGTGAGCGGTTAGGCACCCCATAAAATGCACATGAACCCATCTGGCCGTTTAAAAATTCATTTTTATTATCCGAATTCATTTTTATTATCCGAAAACGTTCCAAACCTGATTATAATTATCCGTTTAAAAATTCAAACCCGTTTAAATGCCATTTAATATTAAAAATATTTTTTATTTTAATTTTTTAAAAATAAAAAAGCAAGTAAAAATTATAAATTATTTATTTTGATTTAATAAAAATATAATATAAATATTATATAATATTCAAAACATAATATATAGCATAACTAGTATATTTTTAAATATATATATTATATATATAGTATATATATTATATTATTATAATTATATAAATATATTTAAATATTCAAATATAATTATTAAATATATTTAAATATTAATTAAATGGATAATAGGCAGCGGTAGTCACGTTTTTTGAATCCGAATTTAATCTGAACCGACGAGTGTAGTAAAAATATTATGCTTTTTTTATTGTATAAATTTCAATAGCTAATAAATCTTCATCCAAAAAAAAGGTCAAAAAGACTTTACGCAATTGAATGATGTCATTCACATGACATCGCTTAGTGTATCATCCTTGTCGTAAGAGCCCTTTTAGGTAGCATTATCTTATTATTATTATTATTATTATTATTATTTTCTTTCGTCGAGGTCCAAAGTTGACGGATTAGCGTCTATAAAAACCTTTCCACGCCTTCAAATCCTCTAAAAAAATTAACTCCGTCTTAAAGGCCAAAAAAAAGAAAAAACGGGGGGAGATATGGCTGAATCATATAACACTGATGATGAGTTACCTCTGCACCACCATTCCAACACTGTCCAGAGCCCCTTTTCGACGACGCCTCTGCAAGTTATCACCATCTTGGGCGGTGGTAGTGGCGGCGGATCCATGAGGGAGACACCCATAAGTAGAGAAATGCAAGTAGAAGATTCCCTTGAAGATTGGCTTCCTATAACGGAATCAAGAAATGGAAACACTTTCACTTCAGTATTTCATTTGCTTTCTTCAGGAATTGGATTCCAAGGACTCCTACTTCCCCTGGCATTTTCCAGTCTTGGATGGTAAATTTGCTTGTTTGTTTCCATTTTCTAATAATAATGCGTTGGGGGCAGGATCCAATTTTTTTTTTCTTTTTTTTATTTAGTTTTAAACTAAAATTTCTGGTTAATAATTTGTAAGGTTCTCATCAAAATAATGTTAAACTGGAAATTTGAAAATTAAATTAACAATTATGACAGAGAATATAATTGTTTTTTATTTGAATTTCTACCCTCTTTTTGTTTTTTTTCAATGAAAATATAATTTATTTTTCCTCAAACAAATAAAAAATCTGATAAATTCATAAAATATTTAAATTAAACCCAAAATCTTGTCATTTTCATTAAAGAAAAAGCTTGTAACAACGTTTCCAATCCACATCCAACAACCGTAAGTCAGCGATTCACATGGTCACATTCAATAGCCTTCAATGTGTATATATTTATTATGTATAGTAGACTGACTTTTAACTGGATGCAGGTCAAGGATTTCTGTTTTGTATAAATTAATTATTTGGATTTGTCTCCTTTTTTAAACATTTATTTTTTTTCACATAAAAAAATATTATATATATATATATATATTTGGCCTCTCATGAATACAAATTTGTGGATATGTGATTGATGCAGGTCATGGGGAATCATATGTTTCTGGATTGCATATGTTTGGCAACTCTATACGATATGGATTCTAGTGCAACTCCACGAGGTGGTTCCTGGATCCCGCTGCAGTAGATTTCTTCAACTTGCTATCTCTGCCTTTGGTTAGTAAGAACCAACAACCCAAATTAAGCCTGCTGTCTTTGATTTCTCAAGTCAAGATTCTAATTCTCTCCGTATTTTTCCTTGAATTAATTAATTTTATTTAATTTTCATTTTCTACAATTTGATATTGTTTTATTTTTATTACATATAAAGCCCAATTAATTATTAATAATTATTGCTTTAATCATTAATTTAATGGTCAATTATTAATTTTAGTAAATCAAATATATGGAAAATTATGAATATTCACATGTCTGTATATTTTTATTATTTTATATACAATTTTGGTTTAAAAATTAAAGAATTATCTAAACCAAATATTACATATAGAATTATCTAAACCAATTATAATTACAATATATATATATATGACCACTATAGGTACTACATTACTTATACTCGATATTAATTGTAAATAGGTTCTTAAAATTAGTAATGATGATTGAAAGGATTTAAAAAATACACCTGTGTCTCTATCTTTAGTTTACCAATGATGATCCCGTGAAATTCTATTTTGGTATTAGAATAATTTGTATGATTAAGTGAGAAAAAATACTATATATATATATTGAAAATACGAAATGGCAAAGTTATTAAAATTTATTTTTTATGAATATGTCACATTTTTTTTGCTCATAAAAATTTCACACTAATTTTCCAAAACTAGTGGCAAGCTCAAAATACAACTTTTTAAATAAAATATTGAGTGTAATTTATCATTAAGTATTTACGTCACTTTATAATTGTAAATTAAATTAGTAATATATGAATTAAAATCATGTCCTTCTATTTACCAATGAATCCAATTCTATTTGGTATTAGTATTTGTATGATTAGTGAGAAAAATACTATATATATATATTGAAAATACGAATGCAAAGTTATTAAAATTTATTTTTTTTATGAATATGTCACATTTTTTTGTCATAAAAATTTCACACTAATTTTCCAATAGGCAGTAAAATAACTTTTTATAAATAGATGTAATTTATCATAAGATATTTGCATTTTGGATATTAGTATTTATAAAATTACTGTAAAAATTTTTGTAGGTCCAAAATTAGGGAAAATACTGGCAATATTTCCAGTAATGTACCTATCGGGAGGGACATGTGTGATACTGATAATAACAGGAGGAAAGACATTGGAGCTTTTTTTTCACACAATATGTGAAAGTGGGGGGACGTGTGATGCCAAGTCATTGAGTGGGACAGAGTGGTTTCTAGTGTTCACTTGCGTGGCAATAATGTTAGCTCAACGACCTAACTTGAATTCTATTGCTGGGATCTCTCTGATTGGAGCAATCACAGCTGTTGGATATTATACTACGATCTGGGTGTCTACCATATCTAAGGGTAGACCTGATGGTGTGTCTCATGTCCCATTACAAGCAGAGAAATCCCATATGGATAAAGTTAGCATTGTTCTGAATGCAATTGGAATTATTGCCCTTTCTTTTAGGGGTCACAATATTGTGCTTGAGATTCAGGGAACATTGCCTTCAAATACAAAAAATCCATCAAGTAAACCAATGTGGAGAGGAGTGCTCATGTCATACCTTATAATAGCTATATGCTTATTTCCTCTTGCAACCCTAGGATTTTGGGCTCATGGAAACAAGGTACAGATCAAGTTTTCTTTCGTATCTAATTTTATATTGCCATATGCTTATGTCGTTTTAGAATAAATTTTTGCGTATTCTAAAAATTTGCTTCAATGTATGGCAGATACCTAACCAAGTTGGAAATGTAAGCATATTTTTGGAATTCTACAACCAAAAGGCCTCAAAGGTCATCAAGATTATAATATACATGTTAGTAGTGGTAAACTGCTGGAGTTCATTCCAAATCTATGCTATGCCAGTTTTTGACAATTTAGAGTTGAGGTACATTACCATAAAGAGTAGCCGGTGCTCGCGATGGGTTCGGTTCGGCTTGCGGGTCTTGTTCGGAGGATTTGCATTTTTTATAGCGATTACTTTTCCATTTTTGCCAAGCTTGACAGCTTTAATTGGAGGAATGGCATTACCTCTAACTTTTGTTTATCCTTGCTTTATGTGGATTTCAATCAAGAAACCTCGGAGAAATGGCTCCATGTGGTGTCTTAATTTAGGGCTTGGGTGCTTAGGCTTGCTTTTGAGTGCTTCATTAGTAATGGCTGCAATACGAAATTTAGCCACCAAAGGGTTAAATGCCAACTTCTTCAAACCTTAGTAATTATATATCTTTTAGACAATTCTTGTAAATTTTTGTGAAATATGAAGCAATAGATTAAAACATATGCATTTAGTCACATTATTATAGTACAAATTACTAAATATATTCTTCATGTGCAGAGTTGATTATAAATTGTTCGAAAATAAATTCAATTTGCCTCCTACACTTAGGAAAAATGTTCAATTTGCTCAAAAATTAACTTTTTATAATTTTTTCAACTTGCACCAAAAAAATAAAAAGCCCAAATTTTTTTACCAAAAAGGAAATATATATTTAATATAAATTAAAATATAATTAAAAATAATTAAATATTTGATTTAGATTCAAATATAATTAAACAAAAAAATAATATATATTCTCTCAAACAAAATATTCATATAATAAAACATTTTTAATTCTATAATTTTTAAATCAAAAAAATATTTTTAATTCTTTCCTAATTTCAAACCTTTTAAATAACTTTTATTAGTTCGAAATATTAAAAATTATTTTTTTATAAAAAATTGAATTTTGTTCTTTTGGTGCAAGTTCATAGAGTAAATTATAAAAAAAATTTTGATTTTTATAAACAGTTAGATCCATTGTAAAAAAGCGAGTCAACTCCAAAATGGAATGTACTTTTTATCAAGATTGCATAAAAATATCATTATTTTGTAAAACTTAATGATTTAATGACGGACATTTTAGATCCGCAATTAAAAGGTAAGTCAATTACAAAATAGAATATAATTTTATTACGATGCCGTAAAAAATATCACTATTTTAAAGAAAAATGGTATTTTTTTTAAAAAAAAAAATTAATGATTTAGGAATGAATTACAAAATAAATTATATTTCTATCAAGATTCTGTAAAAAAAAATATTACTATTTTATAAAAATTGATATGTTTTTTAATGATTATGAATTAGAGATGAATTATAAAATAAACTGTAAAAGACATCATTATTTTATAAAATGTAAATTGTTTCTGTAAAAGTGCATATTTACAAAAAATACGAGTAATTTTCTCAATGTTCTGTAAAAAAATAATTTTATAAAAAATGAATATATTTCGAAATCTAGGTGGCTTGAATTTACTTTGAGTCATCCTAGTAAGCACTGAAACAGTTCAAGGTTTGCAGCACATAATCTTGATGTTGGGCCTCTCTATTATTTGGGTCTTCAACTCACAAGCCCAAGTCCATCATAAGTTATTGCTCATGGGTCACTCATGGAGAGCTGACATGGCAAAGGCGGTTACCAAACATCACACGTCAACGGCACTATAATTTTATATATAGAGCTTTCTCAGTTTAGCTTTACAGACACAGAACAATATATTTTTGTATTACATTTTCTTTACACAATGAATTACAGAGATAGATCATTCAAAACCATCTTCTATACAATTCTTCAATTCCTGATCAGGCACCTTGAAATATATTTTGAAATTGTAGAATGACATTCTTTTCTACTTACATCAGCTTGATGACTACTAATGCATGTTTAGAGGTTCTCCCTTCGATTTTTCTGATCCTGACAAAGTTTTATTTGTAAAAAATCATTGTAGAGTTGTAGGAAGACCTTGATTTAGTTCTGAAATTGCTGATATTTAGGGTCTTAATTAATTATTTACTAGAGATTTAATATTAATATAGAAAATTAATGATTTTGGGTTGGAAATTCATCTTTAATGCTCTCTTTAATATATATTTGATTGTAATTAATCATGCAAAATTTTTAAATTTATATATTTTTTTAAACAAATATATATAGATAAGTAGACATTTGAAATTTTACATGGTTATTCTTTCACAATAATTTTTAAATATTTGATTTTAATATTTTGATTGTAATTTAAAATATTTTATTTATGAACGACATAAAGAAAAAGAAAAAGAAATATAAATAATATATATATATAAAGAAAATAGAATGCATCAACCAATATTGTTGAGATGGAGTGATTGAAATTCTTTTTCCCTAAATCTATGATGCATGGTAACGTGAGAGATTTGATATTTCTGTATTTCGAAAACGGCTTCAAAAAGTGTTAGGTTCGTTTCCGTAAATAATTAAAATCGAACATCTGTTTCCTCTCCCTGGAAACGTTTCTTCCATAAAAAAAAAAAAAAAAAAAAAAAAACAGATGATAAGATCATTCTCATCCATCTTCTATACAATTCTTCAATGATTCGCGTGATGCATGGCACCTTGACTATATTTTTGAAATACGAGTAGCAATGATACAAATTCTTATTTCTACTTAGCGAGTCAGAACTTGATGATTACTTAATAACATGTTTAGACCGGTATTACTCCTTCAGATTTTCTAGATCCTGACAAAGTTTATATTTTAGATAAAAAATCATATGTAAATATATAACTCTGTATGGGAAGACCTTGGATTTAGATTCTGAAATTGCTGATATTTTAGAAGTCTTAATTATATTTACTTTTACTAGAGATTTAATAGTAATAGGAATAATTAGAAAATTAATATGATTTTGGGATTTGGAAAGGTCTTCTTTTAATGCTCTCATTTTTAATATATATTTGGACTAGTAATGTTAATACAAATGCTTAAAATTTTTATAGATTACTATATTTATTTAAACAAATATTATATAGATAAGTTATTGACATTTGAAACTTTCCTACAAATCGGTCTCTAATGTGCTGGTTCACAAACCTAATTTCCTAAAATATTGATTTTTAATATTTTGATTGTAATTCCTATAATATCAGCTTAATATCTTAAATGAACGACATACAAGAAACAAGAGAAAAAAGAACAATCAATAAAAGAATTCACCTAATTATATATATTTAATAGAAAATAGAATGCACCCTCAACACAAATATTGTTGAGATGGTTAAGTTCACCTTGAATATTCTTTGTTTTCCCTAAAATACATATGAATGCTAATATATACAAGGTACTACTGCGATGCATTTGAATATTTCTTTGTATTTCGTAAATACATTAAAGGTCTTTTTCAATAAAGTCGTTACCCGCGTTTACGATTATCCGTAAGGAAATAATTTAATAATTTCGACATCTGTTTCCTTCGGTCCCCTCTGGAAACGTCCTTCTTCCATAAAGAAAAACATAAAATATAATAAACAAAAAAAAAAACTCAATTTTAAAATGCGCAAAAATTGAAATATTGGAGATATATTGCGAATATTATTGCGATTTTAAAAAGGGAAAGCAGGAATAAAATCCTACTTTTAAGTTATTCAAATATTTCGAATTAGGTCTAAGCCCAACCAAGACTTCAATTTTTAAATTCGCAGAAATATAGTACTCTAAAAACTATATAATACAACTTGTTTGCATTAACCTATGTGCGAGAATATATTCTTTAAGCCTTGTAAGACCTTTGAACCGAGTTAAAAAACTAAGAAACAGAACACTGAAAAGAAATAAGAAGGGACAACATTTTCATCTCTTGAAGAGGTTTACTTGATATAATGTAATCTTTCTCATATATTCATTGTATTGACCTTCTTGTCTTTATTTTTCCACATTAATTCTTCCATTCCCCTAAAATCATTCTTTCAACGATAATACCTTAAGGAAGTATGAAAATAGTAAGAATTCGCGTTGAATTCAAATTTGAGAGGGTTTTTTGATTTTTCTTATCACTGCAAAAAAAAAAACACCACCACACCAAAAAAAAAAAAAAAAATAACAAAATATAACAATAACCACTAGGATTTACCGCAGATGCGAAAAAAAACCATCGGACGTCGGGCCCTCAATTCTATTTTTTTTTCGGGTCTCGCTAGAAAACAAAATATAAGAGCGGAATTAACTGATTTGCAAACCACAAATACATGATCGGGATCGCCCAAACATTTTCTTCATTGCTAATTTCTTTAGCGATGACTGAAAATATGATATGGGTCGCAAAATTGTAGCGGACCGAAGTATTTCGGCCCTAACCTCCTTGGCTAAAATTTACTGAAGGCGGCCGACGTAGAGATCAGACTTATACTCGCCCTCAATTGTAAAAATATACAATCCAGCTCCGCTATCTCCTCGTTTCTGCTTAACATCTCTTTAGATTCTATGCTCCATCCTTGCTCAGTCTGTCGTATATTATTATTTTACACTCTTTGATCCGTTCCGTCTTGTTGGTGAAAGCCGTCGCATATGGGATGTTAGTCGCTTCTGTGACTCCAATTAAAGATAAAGCAAGAGATCCGCTAGGATTTGGGTCTGTAACCAACGACTTCTCAGTTTGCTTAGTCCATTGCTCGCATGTCTCTCGTCCGGTGCTATATATAATTTTAAAAATCTTTGAGCGTCCGGTCGTTCATTAGCGGGTCGCTAAATGTATCGCTCAAGTGTCTGCTAAATTGGTTCTCTATATTTTTTTCAGATTATATTATTATCCAGTATGCTATTCTAGTGGCTCTTTAAAGCCCCGACGCTTTCTTTTATTTTTTGGGCTTATAAAAAAAGTAAAAATTTTAAATTTTTTGACAACCTAGAAAAATTTTCACCCTTGTATATAAAATTGCAATATATGGCTGATTCAAGTAATTGCACAAAAAATCAGCGTTCAATTAAGCTACACGAATATAAATACGGGGTAAAAGGATATTAAATTAGGAAATATTATTAATGTGCGCATTGAATCATTATTATACAAATTAATACATGGTGATAATATGCATAAAAATAAACAATTGGGAAATAATCAAAAATTTTAAGTGAGGGAGTCTTATGGTTGGCGTGACATGATCTGCAAAAGATCTTCTCATAACCTGGTGACTTTGAGAAAAAAAAAAAAAAAAAAAAAAAAAAAAAAAAAAAAAAAAACACTATTTAGCGATCAAAAAATCGGTCGCTAATTCTTTTTTTTTTCTGTCGCTAAAACAAATATAGCGACTGATTTGCGACCACAATAATCGGTCGCACAATTTCTTATTGCTAATTTCTTAGTGACTGAATATGATATGGGTCGCAATGTAGCGACCGATATTTCGGTTGCTCAAATTTCTGAAGCGGCCGCTGAATCACTTACTCCAATTAAAGATAAAGCAGTCGCTATTCGGTCGCTAAACATCTTAGATGCTAGTCCATTGCTCGAGTCTGTCGCTATATATTATTTTAAATCTTTGACGTTCCGTCGTTAAGCCGTCGCAAATGTATCGCCTTACTCCAATTAAAGATAAAGCAGTCGCTATTTGGTCGCTAAACATCTCAGTTGCTAGTCCATTGCTCGAGTCCGTCGCTATATATTATTTTAAATCTTTGACGTTCCGTCGTTAAGCCGTCGCAAATGTATCGCTCAAGCTGTCGCTAATGGTCTCTATATTTTTTTCAATTAATTATTATCAGTAGCTATTCTGTGGCTCAGCGATCGCTCTTTATTTTTTGGCATAAAAAAAGTAAAATTTAAATTTTTGACAACCAAAAAATTTTCACCTGTAAAAAATTGCAATATATGCTGATTCAAGTAATTTGCACAAAAAATCACAGCAACGAAAAAATACTAAATTATAAAAAGAAATTATTATTAATGTGCGAATAAAATTATACAAATTATACTATAATATGCATAAAATAAACATGATAACAAAAAAGAAGTCTAAGGTTGGGTCTGATCTGCAAGATCTATAATGGGACTTTGAGAAGCAGGTAGAGTTGAAGAAGCTAGGAGATCAAAGTGATCTGTCAGTGCAATAGGTTGGTCTCGAGTATACATATCCATCAGCTGCTGCTGCACGTGAAGCTGAGCCCGTAAATCCTTAATCTCCTCACATGCATACAGCTCAATTGGTGTGGCTTTACTCACTAAAGGCCCAAGCGTGCGGCTATAGAAAATATTCGACTGCGAACTAATCACGTACACTTTTCTCTTCCTCTTGCCTCCTGCAGCCTCGATATAAAGCTGCAATTCATTGATCGTAGGCTGCTCACCAGTCTGAGCCTGAGATGCAGTACCTCGCTCTTTCCAGTAGTATAATTATCTTTACAAATATAGAATAAAACAGAATCAGAATAATGCAAAATATTCAAATTTAGATGGAAAAACAGAAAATACTCAATTGTGCTTACTAACAAGCTCAATTAATTGTGGATATAAATTGTCTTTGATGATTATTTAAATAATAAATTAATGATGAAATTAATTTTAATTTTATTATTTAATATAATAATAAAATTATTTTTTAATTTTCTTCATTATTATTATTATTATTATTTGTAAAAATATTTTAAAATTATTATAAGCTCACAATTAAATTGTATTGTTAAAAAATTTATAACTAAAGTTGTGCCAACTAAAACAAAAACAACCATATGGATTTTCAACTTGAAAAATGTATTTATATTTGTGTGATAGCAAATCTTTTGACAAACCTATAGTAGAAGTAGCATTATCAAACTGCACATATACTATTATGATTTATTATATAACTACATATAATGATAATGTCAATATAGTATTCATAATGTTGTTTACAAGTTAAATTATTATGTCCGAAGTTAACAAATGTAAAATATTATGCATAAACTTTTATAATAAAATGTCAAATTCCATTACATCATGACACAATTTTAAAATTATATTTATAAATATATAATTTATAATAATTAATTGGTGCTTCGAGCCGGATCATGTGGTCGTACTTATCTAAATTAAGTTAGGAAAACAATTTCTATGGAGAAGAGAAGAAAATCACATATTTATCTGCTTACTACACAGATTGAACTGATGTATAACTAAAAGGATCTAGAATCTAGACACCAAAAATAAGCAAAAATCAAATAAACAAATCTCATAATTAAAAATCAAATAAAAAAATGAAACTCAAACAGAGAAAGCAAAATCTAATCTAATATAATTAAAATAAATTGTATTATGTACAATTTAAATTTAGCAGCACACAGATTTCTTCATCAATAACCATTTAACTCAAAACTCAAATAACCTATACTCAAAAATATTTTGAGATAATGGAATAAACTTTACTGAGTTTGGGACGAATGGTGGAGGAATGGTAGAGAAAACTTTGGCGTAAGTATAGCGAACAGTGGTGAAGAGAGCGAGCAGAGAGAACAACTTAATTGAAAGTGGGGAAAAAAATTAAGAGGTTAAAATTTGGGCTATTGGCTATATGATCAAGTCCAGTATTTGGGTAATTGCATACAAATCGGAGAAATTCCTACTTTTCATATTGTTTTCTTTTCTTGACGGAAAGATTCTATCTATGTGGACCTGGAGGAAAATAAATTAATTTTTCTTTCATTATTTTTTTTCTTTTCTAAACAAAATAAAATTGATCTCCTCAGCTATTTTCATCCTTAAAAAAATACCTCTGTCCAAACAAAGTCTTAGAGTTGACAGCCCTTGAACTCATCAAAATCTATCACAGCTATGCCGATGAAAAGATCAACCAGAAGATTGGTTGTGTTTGACAGAGTAAGATTTCGAACCTTCAATAGCTAATATTTACTTTTTTCCTTTTCCTGTTTTCGGTTTGAAACTTCCGTAGCAAATATCTATTTATTCCTAAAATGTCAAATACATTCTTTAAATAGACATAGTGCCCAATAATCACGTCATCCATATGACGTTTATTGTGTCATTCTTGCCGTAAGATTTTTTTTTTTTTTTTAGCATTTTATTGTTATTATTGTTACAATTTCTTTCATTGAGGTCCAATTCCCACAGACGTCTTTAAGATAGCTGGACATTTATAAAACCTTTCCACACCATTTTCTTCAATTCAAATCCTCTCAAAACCCAGAACTTCATCTTAAACAAACCAGAAAAAAGAAAAAATGGGAGAAATAGCTGAATCATGTTATAGTGATCAGGAGTTATCTCTCCACCACTATTCCAACACTGTCCGAAGTCCTTTGTCGCCGCCTTTACATGTTATCACCATCCTAGGCGGTGACAAGGGCAGTGGCGACTCCACGAGGGAGACGATGGCAAATAGAGAAACGCAAGCAGGCCATTCCATTGACGATTGGCTTCCCATCACAGAATCAAGAAATGGAAACATTTTCACTTCTGTATTTCATTTGGTTTCTTCAGGAATTGGGACCCAAGGACTTGTAATTCCTCTAGCATTTTCCAAGCTTGGATGGTAAGTTTGCTTGTTTGTTTCCTTAATATGTGGTAGCTGTTGTAGTAGGAGGTGTAATAAGGAAAGACGAAGATGATCAATTTGACTTCCTCGATTCAAATTAGCTTATCTTTATCTAAATTATCTCATCATTCAATTGGAGTTTATGAAAATTGTTTCTCTCAAATTAGCTCATCACAAGAAAACATCTATATCAAACATTGCCATTTTCTGTAAAATAAAAAAATATATATATATCATTTTCTCTAAAATCAATTAGTATATGTTTTAGGAAAACATTAATGGGGATGCAAATCCAACTATAGAATTGTGAACAAGTCATGTTCAACCTTGTTTATTATTGCTTGCAATGATGAGATTCACATGCTCACAATCAACAGCCTTAAAAGCAAAATCTTTTACGCAACTCAACAATAAAAACCAAAGACAAATATGGCAACTGAAACTTTGCATGTAATGTATATGTTTGAATAATTATGAGTTCTCATTAAATTTTGCATGTAATGATAAAATTCTTCAACTAAAATACCATTCCATGTAAATATTATTCGTTTAAGGTTATAATGTACATCTGGAATAAACTCAAGCGGTTTATCTCTACTAATCACTCTTATATATTCTCAAAATGACTTATTTTTATAGACAAATCATCTATTCTAAAACAACTTATAGTGACTTTCTTGGGGTGCAGGTCATGGGGAATCATATGTTTCTGGATTGCATTTGCATGGCAAATCTATACAAGATGGATTCTAGTGCAACTTCACGAGGTGGTTCCTGGATCCCGCTGCAGTAGATATCTTCTACTTGCTATCTCAGCCTTTGGTTAGTAAGAATCAACAACCCAAATCAGTGGCTCCACTCTTTTTCCTTTAATTAATTTACTTTATTTATTTTCATCTGGGCAATAAATTTTTATTATATCCTGAAATTAATTTTAAATTGGTTTTACAATTCTTAGGTCCAAAGTTAGGGAAATTACTTGCAATATTTCCAATGGCCTACCTATCAGGAGGCACATGTGTGATACTCATAATCACTGGTGGAAAGACTTTGGAGCTTTTCTCTCACACTATGTGTGGAAGTGATGCCACGTGTGCTGCCAAGTCATTGAGTGGGATAGTGTGGTTTTTGGTGTTCACTTGCGTGGCAATAGCGTTTGCTACTCTACGACCTAACTTGAATTCTGTTGCTGGGATTTCTATGCTTGGTGCAATCACAGCCGTTGGATATTATACTCTGATTTGGGTATCTACCATATCTAAAGGTAGACCTAATGATGTGTCTCATGTCCCACTGCAAGGAGAGAAATCTCACATGGAAAAATTTAGTGGTATTCTGACTGCACTTGGACTTCTTGCTTTTTCCTTTAGGGGACACAATCTTGTGCTTGAGATTCAGGTAAACATAGATTTTATTATTCTGTTGTTAGATGAAATCAGGGATGATTAGAAACTGATCAAACTAAAAAGTATTGAATCAAATTGATCCGTTCGATTTTTTTTTTTTTTTTAATAATAAAATTGATCCGTTCGATTTTATTTGCTTTATAAGGTCTAAATTTAGTTTGGTTTAAATTTTAATTAAATTTTTTTTTTCAATTGAGTTAGATATTGATTTTCATTTTATCAAATTGAAAAACCTAAAAAGCTGGAAATCGACGTAATTTAAATTTTAAAATGAATGTAAAACTGAAATCAAATCGAATTAAATTGAATTAGTTGTTGGATTATATAAACTAATTAATAAAATTCAATTAAATTTACATTTTAGATAAACTAAAGTTTCTTTTTTATTTTATGTAAGTGGTGTTAATGTTGAATTGTTGATTCAGGGAACTTTGCCTTCAACATCAGAAAATCCATCAAGTAAACCAATGTGGAGAGGAGTTCTAATATCACACCTCACAATAGCCATATGCTTTTTTCCTCTAGCAATAGTAGGATTTTGGGCTTATGGAAATAAGGTAAATTAAATTTCCTTTCAAAATTCAATTTTCAAACATTATGTTTTACATATACTAACCATTTGCTTCAATGCATGGCAGATACCTAACCTATTTGGAAATGCAACCATATCTCTGCAATTCTACAGCCAAAAGGCCTCTAAAGTTATAAAGGGTATAATATACATGTTAGTAGTAGTGAACTGCTTGTGTTTATTCCAAATCTATGCAATGCCAGTTTTTGACAATTTAGAGTTGCGATACGTTAGCATTAAAAAAGGCCGGTGCTCACGATGGGTTCGGTCGGGTTTGCGCGTGTTATTCGGAGGATTTGTATTCTTTATGGCAATTACTTTTCCATTTTTGCCAAGCCTAGCAGCTTTAATTGGAGGAGCAGCATTACCTCTAACTTTTGTTTATCCTTGCTTTATGTGGATTTCAATCAAGAAACCTCAGAGAAATGGTCCCATGTGGTGTCTTAATTTAGGGCTTGGGTGCTTAGGCTTGCTTTTGAGTGCTTTAGTAGTAACTGCTGCAATATGGAATTTAGTCACCAGAGGGTTAAAAGCCAATTTCTACAACCCTTAGTGATCATGTAGCCCAAAGTAATGAGACATACAATTCATATTACAAGTTACAAGGAATTTTTTGTGTTCCCACATTAGATATCTTTGAAAGCTAGTTAGGGTATCATATCATAGTCTAACCAAGGCTTTTACAATGGAAAATTTGGGACTTTTGATAATTCAAAACCAGGTTGGGATCCTTGTAATATTTCACAATAGTAAATGAAAAGTAGTTTGGAGAAGATAACAGAATTTGTGAATGACTTCATTTTCATCATGAGCTGGATATTTGTTAATAATGGATTGCTCTTAGTCCTGCACAAGATAAAACATTTCTATAATCAGCTTGATAAATCGTCAATGGATGGATGGATGGATGTTACTCAATCCGAATAATCGTCGATGATGTCTGTTACCATCTATAGCTCCTTAGCTCGTCAGCTCATATTTATTTTGTATATATATGTTATATTTCTATATTTGGGTTGAATAGCTAATAGTCTATTATATTTATTTTTTTTAAAATATAATTCATTAATTATAATATTAAGAATTACAAATACTCATGTAAACTAGACATAGAACTCTACTAATACTAGTAGTAGTTTGCTGATCTTTTACCAAAAAGAAAAAATTTATATTATTTTAAACAATGACACTAAAATTAAAAAAAATATAATATTAGATATTTTCACTTGGAATTGATTTTGATAAAAAATATAAATCTTTATAGTAGCAACTAGTCCGGTAATTGAATTGGACGAAAAAATAATAACTCTTCTAGATCTTCTATACCTGCATTGTTTTTCCAAGAATTTGAAAATATGAAATACATATAAGTTTACGTCACTATGCGTCAGTAGCATCCATAGAGGAACAAACTGCATTACTAGAATTCATCAATCGAAGATCCACACCTTTAAATCAATATGTAAAACCTCCAACTAAATAAATTCAAATATCATATTTTTATTTAGTAATAAACCTTACAAAGAAGTGATAAAAAAAACTCCAAATATAAAAACAAAACAATAAAAAAACCAAAAAACGGACATATATGTTTTAGGAAAAATTCTGACAAAAAATCTAAATATAGAGAAAAAAATAATAATAATAAAAACAAAAAAACAGATAGATCTATTGTAGAAAAAACATATCTAAATTTGTTAAAGTGCATAAAAGATTAAAAGCAAAAGGATGTGAAATAAAAAGAAGAGTAAAAGGTAAGGGTTACAGCTGATAAACAACGGCAGCTCTAAAATAAAATTAAGGTTAAAAGGTAGTATTATACATAATTTTTACAACCATATAATATGGTTGTAATTTTTTTTAATGAAATATTATAATTAATATTGAATTTGCTCGAACCTATATTCTTGCACAATTCAAAATATTTCATTTATGTTTTTTTTTTAATATTTATTAGTCTTTTTTATGACGTGCATTGCACGTTGACAATGCTCATCATATTTTCTTTTTTTATACTCTTTTAATTTTTTTACCTATAAAATATTAAAGCATAAGTTTTTATTTAAATTAAAATAAATACAACTGGTTAATATGTATTAGACTTTGTCATATACGCTATTTGCAATGCTATTTCTTATATAATTGATTCTATTTTTATATAATGAAGTGGTCTCAAAATTAAGTTCAATCCAATCCCTATATCTAATATTTCAGCCCCTAATTTATAAATGCAGATTCTTAAAACCCTAATAGGTGCTCAACAAGAAAATTAAGTTATCACTCAAATCAATATCTATATACAACTATAAACCAAAAAACTGGACATATATGTTTTTAGCGAAAAATTCTGACAAAAAGAATTTCTGGGAAATATAGAGAAAAAATAATAATAATAAAAACAAAAAAAAACAGATAAGATCTATTGCTAGAAAAAACATATTCTAAATTGTTAAAGTGCCATAAAAGATTAAAAGCAAAAGGATGTGACAATAAAAAAAAGAAGAAGTAAGACAGGTAAGCTTACAGAGCCTTGATAAACAAACGGCCAGCTCTAGAAATTTAAAAATTATATTTCAAAAAGGGTATATTATACATAATTTTAACAACCATATAATATGGGTTGTTAATTTTTTTTAATGAAATATATAATTAATATTGAATTTGCTCGAACCTTATATTCTTGCACAATTTCAAAATATTTCATTTATGTTTTTTTTTTAAATATTTATTGAGTCTTTTTTATTGAACGTGGCATTGCACGTTGACAGATGCTTCATCATATTTTCTTTTTATACTCTTAATTTTGTACCTATTAAAATATTAAAGCATAAGTTTTTATTTACACAATTCAAAAAATATCAATTAGCAACTGTGGTGGGTCATATATTGTTATTAGACTTTGTCATATGTGTTACGCTATTTGCGGAAGGCATGGGCTATTTTCCTCACCTATAATATGATTTCTTATTTTTACTCATAAGAGTGGAAGTGGTTCTTCTCAAAAAATTAAGTCTTTACTTCTAACCCAATCCGCTATGTTATTTCTTATTATATATTCTCAGCTTCCTTTAATTTGATATAAATTATAGCAGATTGGGCATTAAAAAACCCAATAGGGTGACTTCAACAAGGAAAATTAAGATATCACTCAAAAATCAATAATACTATATAAACAAAACTATAATGAGAAATAAATAATTTTATTTTTTTTCTCAACGGTAATTGGTAAAAACGATATATAAATAATCAAGATATAATGAATCTGGAATTAATGAATGAGGGAATCAGGTTTCAAGAGTATATATTAATAGTACTACTTTTACCTAAGTGCGATAGTTAAAGAGAAAGGAAGGTAGTGGATTGAATTATGCCCACAAGTGCTGGACTTGAAAACTCAAATAATAGCCCAACATATACGAAGAATATACTAGTTTTTAGTTTTTTTTTAAATTTCATTAAATCAATATTTTTTTTTCAAAGCAAACATATCTAGCGACATTTAAAAGGAAAAAAATATAAAGAAAATTAAAAGTAATTCTTATATTTAGCCCCCGGCCATCTTTTTAATTACAAGGGCACATACAAATCTTCTTAATTTAATTACAAAGCCCGATAAGTGGTTAAAGAATTAAATCCTCAATAACGAAAAAGAAAATAATAAAGTTACATTCAACTTCTTTATTACAAAAAAATTTAAAAACTCCTTTTAACAACTCCCCTCAACAAATAACACAAAATAAATGAGTATAGTTAAAAGAGGGTTATTGCCAAGTTAAATTTCCAAAAATAACCTCCTTGAAAATGGTCGTCACTAATTTAATGGTAGAGATTTGATCTCGAAGGACAAAAAAAAAAAAAGTCATTTATTCAATAAAATAAAAAAGATTACAAGAAAGTGCCAAATCCATGACAGGATCAAAATGGGTCTATTACATGAGCTTACTCTCCCAAACAGTTCTATAATTTATAAATGCAGATTCTTAAAACCCTAATAGGTGCTCAACAAGAAAATTAAGTTATCACTCAAATCAATATCTATATACAACTATAATGAGAAATAATAATTTTTTTTTACTAGTAGGTAAAAGAAAAAAAATAAGAAAATGATCTGAATTAATAATAGTAATCATTTCGGTTATATTAATAGTACTACTTACCTAGTGCATTAGAGAAAGGAATATATGAATATGCCCACAAACTCTTGAAACTCAAATAATAGCCCAAAATAGAAATATATAGTTTTAGTTTTTTTTTAATTTCATAAACAATATTTTTTTTCAAGCAAACATATCTAGGACATAAAAGAAAAAATATAAAGAAAATTAAAAATTCTTAATTAGGAGGCCATCTTTTTATTGCAAGGGAGATACAAATCTCTTATTTAATTAAAGGGATAGTGGTTAAAAATTAATTCAATAACGAAAAAGAAAATAATAAATAATAAATTTTTATTAAAAATAAAACTCTTTTAACAACTCAACAATATAACACAAAATAAATTATATTAAAAAATTGCCAATTTAAATTCCAAAAATAACCCTGAAAATGTTATAATTTAATTAAATTTGATTTGATGGACAAAAAAAAAAAAAGTCATTATTCAATAAATAAAAATTACAAAGCAAATCATGACAGGATCCAAAATTGGTCTATTAATGAGCTTATTCAAGTATTTTGTTTCTCCGTTGTTCTAAGTTGCAAATTTAAAATAAATAAGTTAATTAAGTAATAACAAAAGATTACATAAAAAAAACGTTATATTCTCTCCAAATAAATCCATAATTTTTCCTACAACAATACAAAAAAAAGTATACTTTTTTTATTATGTTTGTATTCATTTAAAAAATAATTTTTAGAAATTATATCCAATCCAATAATAAAATGTAATTTTTCTTTTTTTTCCGTCTTATATGTCCCAAATCCACTAGCTAGAACTAAATCCTGCTCGCACCAAGTTAGTCCAAAAAAAAAAAAAAAGTGAGATCATTGAGTATTTGCTTCTTTCATGAGGATCGAGCCCTCAACCTTACCTAAAAGAATATAGTGTTGCACCACTCATCCAAACACTATTTGATATACAATATAATTTTTGAATTAGCTATGATTAATACTATTTTAGGATATCCTAAATTTCTTTGAGGACAATATCGAAAATCTCATCATTGCCCCCTATTTCCACAGTTATGATGCAAATGATAAATATAAAAGTCATTAAGCATAACAAAACCATTTTCATATATAATACTTAAAAAATAATTGCTATACAAAAATTGTTACTCAGTGTTTGATGTTACATGTTCGAGTCATCCAAATAATATGATAATTATTTGCAAATAACTACCTTTCTTGCGTCATCCCTTCTAATCTAAAATCTAAACTTTCTTTCTATTTTTGGTATTCTCATGTATGCATACATACTCCTCTCTAATGTCTATACAACACAACACAACTGGAAATAAAATGTTCTTTCTTTTCGTCAGACATTTCAACTATCCCAACTTGCACTTACCAGAACCTTAATTAGTTAGATATTCTAACATAAATCAGCAGAAGAATATTACAATCAGATCAAAATTTCCCTGAAATTTGCTTGGAACTATTAAGAACTGAAACAAACAAAATGTTTATCCCATTAGCACAAAATAAAAATTTCTGCACTGGAAGATTGAACCATTCACACTAATTCAAGATAGTTTGCAAATTAATAGTGCAAAATCAAATTTCTGCAAAACTAGCAGAGAATGCAAAGAATTTTCCACAAAAGACCCCAGAAGTACAAGAAACAACAAGAATTAACAGTAATAATAGTTTAAATGCATTGCAAATGAGCAGTAATGAATCTGCTACATCAATGGATATCATAATTCATTTGTAAACCCAATTCGAACCCATCAAGAGTAATAAAAATACTATCAAACTTGTCTCAGACCAGTAATGCTGGATCGGATACCCAAAAGATATCCAATCTGCTGCCATTCCCTACGCAAAACTAGCTAAGAAGGCAAAGAATTTACATTGCAAATAAGCAGTAATAGATAATACTATGCATCCATCTACATAAATGTTATAAGGTGAACCTTAGCATATGGCAGGAGTTAGATGAAATGGGCAAAAATTATAACAGCAAAAACGAGGTGCTAACCAGAAGATGTAGATAATTCAATTGTAAACACATGAAGCTGTCAAATTAAGGGGTTTGCCAAGTTTGTTTCCACGTAGAGTAAGTGGACATCTGATACGATTATAGAACTTGGATTTAACCAATCTTCCCAAAATGTAAGCCCTTGATCTTACGACAAATGTTAGGTTAAGAGGCACAGCTACTCTTTCAATGTGCTCTTCCGCATTACCAAAAACAGGTACTCCACCATATAGGGGAATTTGGGAAGCATGCACTATTGTTATCACTTTCCTCTCGCTCTTCCTCGATTGAGTAAACTTCTTCATCTAATGACCAGATTAAGACAATATATGAAGATGATTAACAATTATGGAACCCAAAATATCTAAAGTACAATAATATCAACACTACCACGACGATGAGGACAACAACAACTAAGTATAATAAGTTAGATTTAGCCATATGAATTTCCAGTATAAGCTCTGATCAAATTAATATCAATCCCAACAATATTTTCATCCTTAGATGTCTCAAAATGTCTGTGATTTAAGAAATATTTACTTTTCCTTTTATGTCCCTTGTTATAACTGGTCTTAAATTCTAAGAATAAACCTTTTGTTTTAAAGGTGTTTAATTTTAGAAAAGTAACGATATTTTGTACAATGTAACACTATAATATTTTATTTTTTAAAATTTACGTAAAAGTCAGCGTGATAAATATTTTGAGACAAAGAAAATATAATATAGAGAGATGAAAATATAAATTAGGGATTATATAAATAGTATAATAGAATTATGGCATTGTCACGTGTGTAAAGGCCAAGGAAAAGTAAACAAAACCAAATTAAAAATTAATGGTTTCCACTGCATTTTTCAGCAAAGTCTTTGCAGTCTTTTGCAGGCACTCCAATAAAGCCAGCCAATAGCATTCAAACTCTCCTTTCCATGGCCCACTTCCCAAGGTCTTTATTTATTATCTAATTAACCCAAACCTAAAAAGCTTCTTTTCCCTTTTGAATCCTAAGGAATTTATTTATCATACATGGGCCCTTGCCTGAGCTTCGTGTAATCACAATTTTACCCTTACGTTCAGTTTTTCTTCGCGCATTAAACAAGAGTTAAAAGGACCATTCACATACCTGTCCTGAGGCGACTTTGAGCTGGTAGTAGTGAAGCTCCAGCGGGGTTGAGGTGACGTGGACGGCGAAAAATGTGGCGGGATTTCTGTAGTGAATCCTCACCGTTGAATTCAACGACAGCATATCTGTTGGCACTCCTGTCTGGTCATTCCCGGCTTGTACATTAATGTTCTCGAACACCATGTTCTGCTTCAACCAAATTCAACAAAAGTACGTTCTTTTAAATATTTTGCTTCATAGTAGTTTTTTTTTCCAGAATTCATGATAATTTTTTATTTAATTAAAAAAATAAATCATAATTTATAGAATTAATGAATCCCATATCAGTTTTTATTAATTTTGTTACTAAATTCAAAATTATGCATTCACTAATATATTGAAGAATAAAAAATAAATTAAAATAATGTTTTCAAAAAAAATAAATTAATTAAAATAAGAAAGAAATTTCTTAATTAAAAATAATTAAGAATTGAATTTGACTTAAATTTAATATAATAAATGATATAATTAAAAAAGTAAAGTTAGTACTTTAAAATAATAAATTTTTTATAAATTACGGAAATTTTATTTTTCTTTTTCTCTTTTTTTTGGTAACTAGGTTTTTTATTTTGTTTTTTTTACTAACAAAAAGCAATAATAAAAATATACTCTTTAGGACTTAAAAAATGGTGGATTGAAAAACTGAGCTAAAGGAATTAGAATAATAGCTCAATGTAGCAGACAAGAGTGTGTATTTCTTACTGTGGGAATTTATGAATTTAAATTTGAATTAAAAACAAAATAAAAGAGGAAAACTAAATATGAAAGAAATGAAACGAACCTTAACAAGTATTTGAGGCTTGTAGGCCTTACTGGCTCCCCACAGAATCAAGCAGAACATGGAAAAGAGCAAGACAAAGAACAAAAATCCACAAGCAAACAATCTCACATTACGACCAGAGCCATAATCATCACCGTCAATTTCGTCATCGTCATCATCATCATCATTACGTTGATCAATCTGTACATGCTTCCAAGCAGAAAGACTTCTAGGGTTTTTCAGAGAAGCAGAGAACCGAGAAGTAGAAGACTCTCGAGAGTGATGAATAGGTGAACAATGATAGTAATGGTGAGCCGGTGACCCATTAGGGCTTGACCCATATGACATCTTCTCCACGTCGTGGTTCGACGGACTTTGCACGTAGTAGACCGGCCGGCGAGGTGACCGTGGCGGCCATGAGGTATCAAGGCTGGTTCCTTCAGAATCTGTCTTGGCATGCATTTTTCAATTTTTTTTTTTTTTCTGTTTGTTTTTGAGATATTTTTACTTTGTTTTGGAATTTATTATTTTTTTATTACGGTAAGAGAGCGATGGTGATAACCGAGAAAGGAAAGGACAGGTAATGGAGAAGAAGGGGAAACAGAGAAATACATAGAAAGAGGATTTATGAGAGGTTTTTGAATCACGAGACAGAGTAATTGTTTGTTGTTTGGCAATTGGGGTATCGATAAGCACTGTGGTGTTTTGTTTGGTATTGTGGAAAAAGCAGTAAAAAAGCTGACTAGGAGACCAGGAGAGAGGTGCGTATTGTTTACGCATTTAACGGCGTAGAGTGTAGGAGGTGGGATTAGAAAAGGAATCCAACCAAACATTCAACTTAGGAAAGAAAGTTTAATGTATAGGAAGATTCTTTCCATATAGTCAAGTATTTTCCTAATATTTATGGCTCTCTTTTTTCTCCAGAAACATATTTTTATACCTTTTTTGCATTTTTTCACCTTAGGTGTATTAGTAAAAAGTTTAAGTTTATAGTTAATAAAAATATTTTATTAAAAAGATAATTTTTCTAATTTATGGTTAATCATCAATATCATTATCGTTATCACTGCCAATCACCATTAGACATTAGTAACAATGTATAGTGACGGGACAATAATGTATATTCACCTTCAGTCACTAACAAAACTACTACAAATTATCATTTTTTTTGTGTGTTTTTTCTAATAATGTATATTCCTCCATGCATACTTGGTTCTTCCGT